TACCCAATTATTGGGCTAAGAAGGAAAAGTGAAAAATAAGGCCTAACCCATGGGCTTGTTATTTCATGCGAGCCAAAAATAAAACAAGGCCTAAAAGAAAAAAAAAACAAGTGGGACGGTTTGGTGCATATGCGCAATTGGGTTGCGTGTCGACTGCAGGCACCCTAAGTCCGTAAGAAAGGTAATGCAAAACGGCTTTGTTTTGGACCTTAGAGTTTTGGAGTAGGAACGACTTGGTGGCTCGGGCAGCGCGGCTTCAGCCTACGGCTCCCATACGTGTAGGGTTTGAAAAATTCCATTTTTTTTTCTTCTCTTATTCACGCATATTCAATTCACCACAATTATAAGAACAATAAATTTAAGCTGAATCTATAATTTCAAAAAAAAAAAAAAAAACATAAAATTAGAGTTCATGCTTTATGGTGAATGTTTCATGCAATCATTGCTGAAAAAATATCAAAATTGAAACCATGTTTTATGGATTATTTGGATTGCTTGATGAATATTGTGAACGACTTTGTAGTAAACAAACATTCAGTTCCTTAGCTCAGTGTCAGAAGTGTGTTTAACAATGTGTTGTGGCCTAAATTTAACTGAAAGAGAGGGAAAGAGAGGGGGGTGCAACAACATAAAGAGAAAAGATAGGCTTGGGAATTACTGTGATGATAATTCTCCGTACCTTATGCCTTTTTTAAGAAAAATAATGGAGTTACTTGCCTTACAAGTAATACAAAGTTGTGCCTTTTTGTTTTTGTAATTAATTCTTGAATTGTTTATCACTAACATTAGTAGTTGTTGAGACTATAAATACTCAAGTAATGATTTCTGTTGTGAAATTGGTGTGAATGCCCACATAAAAAAAAAACAACCACATATGGTTAAGGGTGGAAGGTGGAAGAATAGAAGTCAAAATTATATTGCTTAAATAGTAGAAGTTTGGTTTTTATTGTTTTGGTATGTAAGCCTTTTACATGCATTAAAAGAGACGTATGCTTGTATCGTATGAGTAGTACAAAAAGATGAAAAGCAGAAAGTAATAATCATGTTTTCCTCATTTGTCTCTCTCTATGTTCATTTCTCTTATCTGATTCTAGTGAAGAAAATAAATAGAATAATACATGGCTCCCGTTTCACTTTAATCTCTAACAACTTTGATAATATATATAGGTATGCATCATTTGATAATAGCATGTTTCTAAATGCTCAAGGTAATCATTATCTTAAATTGGTCAAAGCTCCAAAAGACTTCAAAACAAAACTGTCGAACACTCTGATGCTTTAGCACATTCAATCACATATATTAAACATTAGCTCGTTCTATCAACTATATTTTTCTCTCAAGTGAGGCATATATATATATATATATATATATATATATTATATGACCCTTTATAACCAATTGTATCTCGGGATACTAAACATAGTTAGAAACTAATTTTTTTTTTTTTTTTTTTTTAGTTTTACATATATTAAAATAAACGGTTAAATGGGTACCCGTTTATAAAACTCAAGTAATATCCATAACCGCCCATTTAAATTTCACGGGTAAGTGGTTATACCCATAACTGTTTATTTATCTAAACAGTTACCCATAACCGTAACCATCAAATTTAAATGGGCGGATAACTGCGATTACCTATAACCAACGGGTATTTGCCCATCCCTACCTTGCCCAACATTGATAAACTGTTGGACTTAGTTCATAAATCATAACAACTTAACCGCATTCATGTCATAGTTCGAAGGCAAGCAGAGCAAAGAGTAGTGGCATAAATTTGCATTTGGCTAAAATTTTTGCAGCAATCCTATTGGAAAACCAAACTTTAGAGTTTGAACTACTCATTCAGTTTTATGCTTGGTAATTACATATTATATGCATGTTTGGATTAAGTGACTGCTTATCTCCGTCCTTCGTGTTGCCTACTCCTGATGTGAGGTGTAGGATGCTCCTTACAGGCCTAGCCGCAAATAAATACTTCGCCTGGAAGGTTGATCATGTTGACTATCGAAATGTGGCCCCAACCGTGAATGTATGCTAGTTCGTGGGCTTAGTTGAGAGTACATGCTTCTCGCGCGCTAGGACGAGAGTATACGTTATCTTGGGGGCTCGAGAGTGTACACTGTCAGAACACTCAGTTCGTGGCTAGTCGAGTAGCTGCTTGCCAGGACGTTTCTAGAGAGGTTTTTTGTCTGCCATTGTCCTACTTCGGGACACCTCATCTGGGGCATGTTGCATCTCGGTGCGCTGCAAAAGTTGGTTCACCAAGGTTGTCTACTGTGTAAGGGCGTTTATTAACTCTATGACTTGTCGACACAAGTGTTGTTCACCATTTAGGTTGGAAGAGCTTGGACGGAATACGTTTCCTTGAGTAACGAAAGTGTAATGGGCTCCAGGCACAAGATTTGAGTTGGGAATGTCAAATCCACAGAGAAATATGGTGAAAATACCCCCGATTCAATCGTCGACCCAGAAATCTGAAGCCTGGATGGTTGAGCCGATCTTGGACTAGTGGGAATTGCTTGAAAGTCCACGGGAGCGAGCTGGGCCATAGGAGTGGCCTGCTCGCGTGTGGTGTACTTGGGTATTGGCTTAAGCTCGGTTCGGCAACGCATTGGACTTAGGTAGCTCGGGCTGGCTTGCCTTAGACTTGGGCCCATGTAGGCTTGAATGACACGGCTTGGGCCATGGTCTTGGCGTCGTGGCCTTTACCGAGGATGGCTGCTGTGGTGGTTGCTACGGTGGTGTCCCGTATGGGTTGTGCCATTCCACTCATCATCATGTTGAGCCATGTGGATTATTGTGGTCCTAATTCTCGAACGTTGGAATTTCCGTTCGTCGAGGTTTCCGAATCTCTTGCCATTGTACTTTTTTTTTACGTTTTATCGAAGAATTTTTATAAATAAAAACTCCAAGAATAAGAACGTACGAAAAATCTACAAATGAACAAGAAAACAAAAAACTTTGAATGCGAGAGTCTTTTACAAACGTGTGACTCAAACTCTCAATGAAAACACCAATTTGTGGATGCAAATTTTCACCTTCTTCGTCTTGGACGAAAATGCACCTGCAAAATAATTAACGTCAAGGTCAAGAGCCTCACGTATCCACGATGAATCTTTGGCTGAACAACCTCCGATACAAAAGTTAAAATTTGAGGGAGAAAGTATTTAGACAAATTTGGAGAATTTAGTAAGAGAGTTGAAATTAGGTTTTTGGAAGAAATGGGAGCTATTTATATGGGTGTGGCCGGCCACTTATGGTGGTTTTTGGGTGCACTTGCAAGATACATAATATCTTGCAATCAATTAGGAAATTAATTAGAAAATTAATTAATTAATTAGGAAATTAATCAATTAATATAGGTAATTAGTCCTAATTTGAATGAATAATTAAGGGTTACCTTGTGGGGAGGATTTGATGAGGATGGATGAAATGAGTTTCGAATAAATACCTATTTTGATCACTTTTGACATTGATTGAGTTATGATTGTCTGTTGCTTATGCGTGGGAGTTCCGATGTGTATCGAGGGTAAATTTGTCTTTGTTGCCCACAAATCCACATGTCACCTCCATATTTATCTTGATTATTTTTGGCTCCACAATGGCGTCCTAGAGTTCGTAGGTAAAATTGCTTGGCTCTCTCAGCTAAAATGTATTCTCGTTTTTCTTATATTTTTCTAGAGGATAATCATGTTGATTTCTTAGCTAATTATGGGTTTATTATGTTGGCTCTCATTGGTGGGACCAACATATTCTCAGAATTTTTCAAAGATTTTAAGTTATAGTTTGTCGAGTAATGCTAATGAGGCTAAATTTTAAATCAAATATTGTAAACCAAGGGGCTGATCACTTCTATTTATAAAAACAATAATAGAAAAAAAGGTAAATTATATTTTACCCCTCCGGTTTGGGGTCGATTTCAATTCCTTACAACATCTTTAAAACATTTCAATTTCATACATTTACTTATCATTTTATTTCAATTTCATACATCTGTTAGAAAATCTGTTAAGTAAACCATGAAGTGATGACAGTGGTAAATATGAGATCCACATTTATGCTGATATAGGTTGCCAAATTTATGCCATGTGGCAAAAAAAATAATTTTTTATGTATTTAAAACATAATAATAATATTTACCCTAAAAAAAAAAAAAAGCAAACAAACCTAGAAACACATAACCCCCCGACCTTTCCTCCACTCTCTTCACCTCCCCTCCCATTCGAAAACCCATCCTATCCCACCCCACCCCCACCTCCCCTATAACCCCCCACCCCACGATAAATTCACAAACTTTTTGTAAAAATTTTGAACTTTTGAATTCAATTATTTTTTTTTCCTCACCTTTGGGCTTAATTTCTGTTTGGCTACAAAAAAATGGTGTTGAGTCCGTGTAGATCGTTGGTTTTCAGGACGATCCGGCCGAATCTGTCCATGGCGTGCAGCACGTTCGCGACGAAGGCGGAATCGCCAGTTTTGGAGCACCAGGTGAGGGGTGCACACGATAAGGGGTGGGGTGGGTTTTTTTCATGAGAGAGGAGGGGATGAGAGTGGAGGAGAGGGAGTGGATCAAGTGGGGGAGATGGGTTTCCAGGTTGGTTTTTTTTTTTTTATAGGGTCAATATTATAATATTTTTAATGCATAATTTTTTTTTTGCCACATGGCACAAATTTGGCAGTCACATGACATAAATGTGGCAGTTACGTCAATTCTTAACGGACCAATGGATAAAAAATGTAACGGAAGTACTATATTGAAATAAAATAGTACTTGAGACATAAAAGTGAAATTTTTGAAGATGTTACATGAGACTACAGTTAACCTTAAACCTGAGTTGATAGTGTAATTTATCCTAGAAAAAATCTCCATAATTAGATCCTTACCACACGCACGTGCGCAACCAAATTATAAATTTCACTTTTATTATTTTTAAAATAAAACCCTAATTAATTAATTATCAATTATTTGGCAAGCAAGTAGAATAGTGTCTCCCGCAAAATTGGGCCAGGCCCTTCCTACTCTCTCCTCCGTAAACTGCTAACTTGGGCAGCTGCCTCCTAGAACCTTCCTCCTAGGGTTTCTTGAGGGTTTATCATCCATCCAGCCAAAAACCCTAAAAAATCCCATCTCCACACAAAGACTCGATCTTTTTTTGGCGCTTCTTCCTTCTCCAAATGGTTCGCTCCAATGGCGTCAGGCTTGTCCACTGGCTCGCTCGTTGCTCTTTTGCATCCAACGTCCCTTCATCTTCCGTACGATTTATTATCCCTCTCCTTCCTCTTCAATCGTAATTTTTTGTAACAATCTTTTATCATTTTCGATTGTATTTGTGCTAATTAATCGGTTAATCTGAAAATTTCATATCTTTTTTGGCTAATTAGCTTTCTCAATGTTGAATTGGTGCTTCCAGGTGTACGGGAGGGTGTTTGGTGGTGGTTATAGGACATTCAGGACTGGGGTTTGCAACAATTCCAGAGTTTTAGTGGGAGATTATACTAATACTAATAATGGTATGTCAAATACCAACCCACTTCTCCTTTATTTCGTTTTTTTGAATTGGGAAATGGGTTACCTTTTATGATTGCCGGATCTTACTGAAGGGAAAACAAGCGAAGCTCTGGATTTATTTAGTTATTTTTCTTTTAATATGTTTAAATGGGATTTTACTCTATCGACTGAGCATTAAGTTTCTTCCCTCTTTAATTGACTCGTTTTTGTTGCCTTTGCTTTTCCCCCTTACCCTCCCTTTTTTTTGCAGTGTGTAAAAAGAGTTGGTTGCTGGGAAATTGGTTCACAGCGAGATCAATTCATGGAACTGGTATCAGACACATGAATACGCTTTCATTTTTGGTTTATTTGTTCATATGTTTGTAAATATGTTCTTGTTTTTGCGATTGTGCACATTTCAATTATAAGGATCATTTACTCATTCTGAAGGCTTGACTGATTCTGACGTGCCACGAAACTCAGTGTCTATGTTGTGTACTTTTAGTTGAAAACCCACTTTTATGAGAAAACTTTGGTATCAATGGTATGTGTAAAAAAAAAAAAAAAGGTTGAGCTTAAAGACTTCATTACTTTGTTAGGTAGTTTCTTGCAATATCATGCAATTATTTGTTCATTTTGGTAGTGCATACAAAAGGGAATATGTGGAATTTATTTATGAGATTTGTACTCTTTTATGCATCAGCATCTATGTCCGTGAGAGACTACTACGAGACACTTGGTGTGAGCAAGAATGCGAGTTCCTCGGAAATAAAGAAAGCTTATTATGGGGTAGGTTTTTGCTACACTTTATGCCTACTATACGTATATGTTCACTCAAGTCTTGTAGAATTAATAAATGCCACTTCTACCGGACATAACTTTGTGATGTTGGAATATAATTAAGTTATATTTTACTATAGATATAAAAACCGTAACTATAAAATTGTTATTAACATTTAGAGTTGTTTTCTAGGAATCTAAGAAAACTTGTATGATCGTAGTACTGCTGTAGGAGATATAAGATGCTTACACGTCCATGATAATGCATAATGTTAGTGTGTCTTCTAGTTACATATTTAGAAGTTTAGTCATTTTTCAATTTGTACTCACAATGTAGTGTAGTTTGAATACATATTTGATTTTAAATTGTTTCTGTTCTGAATGTCATCTTTCTTTGATCCTTCATCTCCCTTAATTATTTTGCAGCTAGCAAAGAAGCTCCATCCAGACACAAATAAAAATGATCCTGATACAGAAAAGAAGTTTCAAGAAGTTCAAAAGGCCTATGAGGTTTTAATTTTTCTTCAGAATTTATTTACTAATTACTATTGACTTATGAATAGACTAAAAAGAACTTGTTTTCATTATTATTGTAGGTTTTGAAAGATGAGGAAAAACGTCAAGAATATGACCAGGTGTTACTTCTATTCTTTATTTATGCGCTCTATATTTTTGTTCAAAATTAACTTCTCTGTGTGTTCCATTATGAAATGCTTCTGTCTGAGTATGATGTGTAGTGGGTCCTTGGTATTTTTCTTGTAAAACCTTGTAGTTAATGCTTTTGGTAGTTTTACATGACAATGAACTGGATAGGGATAACACTTTCTTAGATTGTTGAGAACTCCTTATAATTCATTCTCTGGGTACTATCAAACAATAGCAATCAAACATATATTCCAGCAATTTTTGCTTGTCTACCCCCTGAAGATGCAAAGTACTTCTCAACAAACATAGAAGACTTCTTTCAACTATAAAAAAACATAGAAGACGTACTGCAGGTTAGGATACAAAAAATGGTTATAGTTCCAGATGTTCCGCTTTGAAAAGATACTAAGGGCCTGTTTGGTATTTGATTTAGATCCAATGTTTTTAACTCAAAAATAGGTTTTGAGTCACAAATTTAAAATCCTTGTTTGGTAGTGGATTTGAATACAATTCTCAAAACCATAACTCAAAAATATCTAAAAACAAGGGCTATTGGTTGAAAACACAAATAGTGTGTTTTTAGACTTTTTATTTTATGGACTATCACTCCCGTCTCTCTCTCCCTCTCTCCTCTCTCCCATTCGATGTACTCCGTTCCCTCTTGCCTCTTCAATCCTCTTTTCTCTATTGCCTTTCCAATCCCTTCCCGCTTATGTCCACCATAGCCACCACCTCTATCCTTCTCCCTCCGGCCAAGAGAAATTGATCTCTCCCGCCTTTTCAATCCTCTCTTCTCTGTTGCCTCGTCAATCTTATCTCTTCTCACTTGCATCCACCATAGCCACCACCATAGCACCATAACCACCACATCTTCCCTATGGTCGTTGGATCTCAGGTTTGAGACCACCAACATGATTAGCCTCTGTCAGCATGAGTTTGGAGTAAGGAGTTGGTAAATAGCCAAAGGAGTCGCCGCTAGGGAAGTGAGGGATGCGGTGGTTAGGAAATTGGTCTTTTGCCGCTGGGGATGGGAGGGATGCCGTGGTCTGGTAATTGCTTGGGCTGGGCCGCCTGGGCGTTTGACTTTTTCTGTTTGGATTAGTTTTGAGAAAATGCATACCAAACAAGGTTTTGAATTTAAAATTTTTAAATTAAAACATGTGTTTTTAGAAAAAATTAAAATTTTGAGTTTTGTTCTCAAGTTAGATACCAAACAGGCCCTAAGATACTGGTGAATTTTTTTTTTTTTTTTTTTGGCCAATGTCAGGGGCAGTTATAGACTATTATAGTCCATGTTCTGCTGTTAAACTCATTAACTTCATGATCTTTTTAAGTAAGTGAATCTTGACTTCAGTTGTATTGTACATTTATTGTGTTGCCTCCTTCAGAATTGTGTTATGTAACCGTGTTCCTTGTATTAGTACCTTTTCTTTATGACTTATGTAATTAAGCATTCTCTTACAGATGGGCCATGATGCATATGAGAATCAAGGCAACGGCTTTCCAAATGATTTCAGAAATCCATTTAAAGATATATTTGATGAAAATGTAATGACTCTATCCTTATGTCAGGTTTTTTTGCTTGTTAGTATTCTTGTCATCTGGGAGTTTTGGAAATTGAGATCAGAATTTTGAAGAACTAGAAAAAAGGGCCTTTGGATTAGTTCCTTTGAACAACCATGAAAGTACTTAATTTAGCATTTTTCTGTTTCTCATTAAACTATTCTGTATATTCTAGTTTTCTTAACTGGTGAAATTTGTATATCCTGTCAAGTATTTGTAAGGAGCCCGTTCTTGTCTTGACGAGGATGTGCCGATGTGGTCCAGCACTCCACATAGTCTTTCTTATCTCTCTTTCCATTTAGTATTCAGAAGATTTTTGGAATCTTTTCTAAGTGATCTTATGCTATCTAATATGTTATGATCATAGAAGACATATTATATGTTCTAAAATACTTCCTACATTCCCAAGTTGCTGACTTTTGCATTTTTTTTGGGAATTTATCTTCATTTTGGGATTGTATGTGCATGTTATTGGTGTTGCGCTGTTTCCGATGGAGATTAGATCTTCAACATTTTCCGTCAAAATGGTGGTCAAGACATCAAGGTTTCATTCTGCTTCAATTTTGTTGTTGATATTTATTTGTGCTTTAGAATTTGCTTCATGACATGGATTTCTGTTCTTATAAATACTCAGGTTACTTTGGAACTTTCCTTCATGGAAGCTGTTCAGGGATGTGCTAAAACGGTGTCATTTCAAGCTGCAGTGCCTTGTGAAGCCTGTGGTATGCCTGATTTGTTCACCTCTAAATGTCTTCTCTTCTTTTGTGGAAATGTTCTTAGTATGTAGTTGTCTTTTGCCCAATTGGTTTGCAAGGAAACTTTTTAGCTAACTTATTGTTCTGTGGATCATTGCAGGTGGAAGTGGTGTTCCCCCTGGCACCAGACCTGAATCATGTAAGCGCTGTAAGGGTCTGGGATGGTTAGTTTCTCTAAGAACATAAACCTGATTTATTTATTTTAATAAAAAAGGATATCAAGTCATCCGCTCTTGTTAACTCATGGTTTGCTGTATACCCAGACTTTCATGCAAACTGGCCCATTTAGGATGCAGACAACTTGTTCTCAGTGTGGGGGGACTGGTAAAACTTTCCCGGTACGGTTCACATCTTATCTTTACTAATGCATTTTCACTCCTCTACAGATAAGTTTGATTGTTTATATTTTTCTCCAGATGTCTCATGTCTTCATTTTTCAATATTTAGTCTTTGTTTGCTGCCTGCTGTTCTAACCTTGTTACTTCATAATACATTTGTTGCCCTTTTTTTGGGTCAGCTATTGTTAGCTATATGATTATATTTTGTTTGTCATAAGATAATTGCTTAGATTTGAAGTTACAAAAGAGATCAAGTATTTGCCTTTGGGAAAGTAAATGTGTCCGGGCTGTGTGTGTGCTCGTTTTATCCCTCTTTCTTCTGAAGCACCTATTTTGTTCAAAACCGAACTGAGGAAAGGGGAAGAGGACATGTCCCTATATGTGAATAGTAGCAGTATCTTAATAAGAGTACTTCAAACTCTATTGTTAGTATGTTCCCATGGATTCATGTAAGTTGATACTTACATTTCTGCACAAATCTGTACATGCTTGCCCATATCAATGAGATCTGCTGTGTTAAAAATTTATTTTCCAATGCTATTTTTTCCTTTTTAGATCTCCTTGGATACTGTTATGGTTATGCTCAATTTTATGTTGTATCCTGTTCTGTTTTGTCTAAAATGTTGACTATGTAATCATTTTTTATTATGAGTTACCACGAAGTAAAATAATTCACTTTTTGGTTTCAGAAACTTTGCAATTCGTGTAATGGAAGACGGGTCAAAAGTGGAATGAAGTCTGTCAAGTTAGACATCATGCCAGGTATTTCTTATATTTTAGTTAGACATCATGCCAGGTATTTCTTATAATTTTGAGGCATTTGGTTGCGTATGGGTGATCGTTGTGGTTTTTACGTTATTCAAGGGATCATTTGTTTTGCTGATCATTTTATATCAAGCTATTCAATAGATTGATATGCTTTTGATTTTTATATCATTCGTATCATATACTGTTACACCCATGAGTTGGGCATCAAGTTAGGCTCTGTACTAAATTGTTATCAATGTTTCAATGAGGGTGTTTTACTATATGACAGAATTTTTGTTGGATACTTAGCACCTATGATGCTGTCGCTCTTCCTTTCGTCATTCCATTTCATTGCTCGCATTCAAATAATAAAACACACTCTTGATTCTCAAGCCTAATCCTTTGCTTTTGTCCTTTGCAAATATTAACAGAACATTTGTCATTTTGTTAATAAAATATGGCTGCATTTATGAATCATCATTTGCAACAAGACTCTCCAATTTTCGAACTACTATATCTGCTTTTTTTATTTCTTTTTATTTTGTAATAGTGGACGACTGGTTATTTCCATTTGCAGGTGTTGATGACAATGAAACTATAAGAGTGTTTAGTAGCGGTGGGGCTGATCCTGATGGAATGCAACCTGGTGATCTTTTTGTTACCATTAAGGTGATCTACTAATCTTGATAATGTCCTTGCGTCCACTTGAGATATATGTATGTATATGTATATATATTTATTTTTTCTGGGTGACACTGGAACAGGTCCTTAGGATGTATAAGCTGCTTTTCATTAATTTACATCTTAAATCTATTTGCAGGTTAGGGAAGACCCAGTTTTCCGTAGAGAAGGTGCAGACATTCATGTAGATGCTGTTCTCAGTATAACTCAGGTACTGCTTAAATTTTTCAGTTCTCGGGAAATTAATGGGCTTTAATAACAGAAAATCCTGTATAGTGAGGTATCAGAATCTTATTGCCTCAGAGGCACCAACAAGCTAAATTGTCTGTTCAGTTTTTATGTGTATTGTGCTGTTGAAAGTTAATATGTTTCTATGCAGACTAATTATTATTGTATGCTGGTTTTGAGGAGTTATCAACTGTGCCTTTTCTTACAACTGAATACCATTATTGGGAAACATGATTGTATTGGCATACTGAGGTTTAGTGAATACTTCTTTGCAGGCAATTTTGGGAGGAACTATCCAGGTCCCAACTCTCACAGGCGATGTTGTATTAAAGGTTTGCTTTGGAACTCATTCTTCGACAACTCGTGTACAAGTGGAAATGACTCAAGTTTAGATACTGTTATATAATCAACGGTGGCATAGTTCACATTGCTTTCTTGTCTGCAGGTTCGTGCTGGCACCCAACCTGGTCAGAAGGTAGTCTTGAAGAAGAAAGGTAAGGCAGTCGAATTACTCTTTATAGGTTAATTTTCTCGCTCTGATAAGAATTTGACTTCCCCACTTTCCTCATTAACTCTATGAAGAAACAAGTTGGATTAGGAATTGGTTAATAGGTTATTGTAAGTGGTAAGTTTCTGCTCTTGAAAGTTCGGAGTTGAATCTCCGGTCAACCTCTTCTTTTATTGAAAGCAGAGCAAAATCAGCAGAAAGAAAATTTTGATGTTTCTTATGCTTGAGTGAGCATTGAGCAAGCTGGGTTGGGGACTGGTGATGCGGGTTAAAGTTTAAGTCTTATCTGATTATAGCTGACATTTAATGTGCTCTAGTTTTATATTTTATTATTCATAATTTGGCTTATGTAAAGGCGTGTCTATGTTGTTTTGCAATTTAGTAATATTGTATGAAAATTTAACTTATTAATCTCCCCTCGATGTGAATAGAACAAGGTCATTTCTCACTTAACTTACTGGGGATGTATAACAGGGATAAAGACAAGGAACTCTTATACATTTGGTGATCAATACGTGAATTTCAATGTCAGCATTCCAACGTAAGTTTTCGTGGTTCCAAACGACTTCTGTTAGTATAGCCTATTTTTGGTTTTTTATAAAACTTAATGGTAACCTCTGTTTTGACCATAAAAACTCTTTGAGCCAGTGTTTTATCTTTATTAACTTGAGACATGTAACTATGCAGGAATCTGACTCAAAGGCAACGCGAATTAATTGAAGAGTTTGCCAAAGAAGAACAGGGGGAATATGGTAAGCATGCAGCCGCGGGTGCATCTTGATGAGATTAGCGTGGAGAGGGTTTCTTGGTTTAGATGATAGCTGGAAGGACAAGGAATGATAGTAAAGGTAGACAAAAGGATCCACCCAGACCATTCTGGTAAAGGATTGGAGTTGTTTTAGGTTCCAATTGAGCCACTTCTATTTGTAAGGTTATGTAATAATTTTTACCCGTCGAGTCATAATTCGTACTTTGTCATTTAGGCGAGGTGGTCGCCTGATCGGTGATCATCGTGCAGTAATTTTGCGGCAATGTACATATATTCTGACTTATAATCTCACAATGATAATGGGTTTCTTGTTGTCCCTAATTATTTTTACCACAAGTGTATTGGACAGATATATCCCTTAATGAGATTGAAATGTTTTCCTCGCAAGTATGTGAGAAGCAATGCAGGACATGTGAGTTGATTAACAACAGTCGCAGCACGCGATCACAAAAGAATTGAAGATTGTTTTACGAGTTACGTACAGAAATAATATGTCGAAAATGATGCACCAAATTCTCAAACTTTTGGCACTGAAGCAATATTTGTTTGATGAACTTGCAAAATACAAGCTCCGTGGTGATAGGATTCAGCATCCACTCATTCACCTGAGGCGAACTTGAGGTTGAACAACTTGCAGCGGCCACTCATTCACCTGAGGCGAACTCGAGGTTGAACAACTTGCTGTATGAAGAAAACGCGTGTTGAAGCTTCAAGGTTTGCATCAATGAGATTAGGGCAGGGCAAGGTTATCAGAAAGCAAGAGAAAGGAAGCACAAGTGGCAGCTAATCAACATGAGGCATATAAAGGATCAATGCCTTTCTTATAAGCGAGTCCCATATGATGAAGGTTGCAAGTAATCATCAGCAGTGTCAAACACACCAAGTGCGTTCAGGAACAACAGTGGTATCTCAAACACAAACCCTCTTTTCGTTTCTTACGATTTTCGAATTTGGAAGAAATGGATTCCCTTTGTTGCAATCTGTAAAAAAAGAGGATTGGAATATCATGCCATTGTTTCTTCATTTTGATACAACGTGTGAAATTTATTTATGCAGAAGACAAGTTTCAACAAGTTTGAAAGGTCTGAGGTTCTACCTGTTTTTCAGAATTGATTTACTAATTACTATTAACTTACGTATATACTAAAAAGAAAGTGTTTTAATTACTTTTTGTAGGTTTTGAAAGATGAGGAAAAGCGTCGAGTACATATATGGTGTGCTGACGTCAAAATTCGGACAAAACTTGATTGGGTTCAGCACGTATTTGTCTCGCATTGCTTTCGGCCTCAATGCCACGAGATGGCTCAGAGAATAGGCATGCCACTGTTACACGATGTCCACAAATGTGACATGTAGAGTTGTGTTTGAGCGTAACAACAGTAAGCTCTATAAACCTTCTTCTTTCTTTGAGAAGTGAGAACCATGTCCTTGAAAACCATTCAATTTGATAAAGCATGCTCTCCTCTTCATAGTTTGGGAGCGTTCCTCCAAGTAATGCAAGACTCTGAATCTTGAACCGTTTACACTCGTTTCATCAATTTTTTTGCTCATTTAAGTGTAAGTAGTTATCGATACTACCTACCACATTAGTGATGTAGTTCATCAAAATTCAAAAAGTGGTACGATTGGATGTGTTTTCTGGATGCTGCTAGTGATAACGTGGTCGGGTGAGGCCAAAAGTGTAGTGTGATGGTGCCGGCAACGATGGAAAGGGCATATGCATGTTGGTGGTTGTACTGCGGGCCTGCGGCCATCTAGCTTGTTCACCAAAGTTTAATCCAATTGGGATTTCAAACATAACAGTGATATAGAGCTTAGACGAAGTTATGATCTACGTTTATAAATCCAAACAAGACGATACAAGTCAAATAAAAAAACTACAATCCGCCAAGTTTCCGGCTCCGAAAATAATTTATCAAGCATATGATGAACAAACAATTTGCAGACCTTTGTCAAATGCCCTTCAATTTATTTCATTTTTGAAGCACAGAAACAACCGAGGGAACTGAAGGCTGATTAATCCTCAATCAGGAAAATAATCAAGGCAGTTTTACATGTCATAGAGGGGACTGCTTTCAAATAAACGTAAAAACATGTCAATTGAAATTTTCCATCCTGACGTACTAGGGCAAATTATATTGAACCGATTTGCTCCACAAATTCCTTGGACTAGTTTCTAATCCTCAAAACCAACAGAAAATATTCTTACCTCAAAATATCAAAACCTCGCAATGAAAACCCACCTTGGTGTCGATCAATAAAACTTTGATGCTCAAAATTTCAAGATGCGGCTTTGCTTTTCGATTTCTGTTTCTTGCCGTCCAGTGTTGCTAAGCCTTTGCCCAATCCAACGGGAGGCTGAGCTTCCTGCTCCGCTGTTGCTTGCTCTTGTTTCACATCAGCTGAGCCATTTGCAGGATGACTATTGGCTTCCTTCGCTCCATCGGTTTCTCCATTTTCTGCAGCAACTGGTGGGGTCGCACCTGAGTTGATGATATCGAGGAACTGAGTAAGTGGAGGCAAGGCTTGGACTGGAACACCGTGTGGGCGTACCAAGAGGCCCCTTGCTGCTGCCTTCCTCCTGACTTCAGCTGCTGCACGAGCAGCCCTCTCATCAACTCCCCTACCTCTTGGAAGAGTATCACCAATTATTGCAGCATTAAGAGATTTGTTGACGGAGGGGTTAGAGCTCCCAGACCCACCGGATTTGGCAGCAGACTGGAATGCCTGCATCAAGTCAGGATGAGCCTGACAGGCAAAGTAAACTATTAATTGGAAATCAAGATTCTTGGTGTAAATTATAACCCAGACACAAAGCAGCATGGTTTAGCAGTTTAAGGATCACTATGGTGGCAATATTACACAAATCTCTCCATATTCTTCTTTCAAGACGTTACCCACAGTTCCTCTTATTCTTCTTTTCTGATAAAATATTCCGACAATACATCAGAATATTTTATGAACGGAAGCATTAGTAGACGGACTAGGTTTATTGGGCCTTTTTGTGTCCTTCACAAATAATTAGAAATATGAAAAGATGTAGAACAGAAATAGGAGAAATGTAACGATGAGACCATGACTTAGGAAACACACCAATTATCCTTCAATTGAACAAAATTTCAAATTTATAAGCAAAAAGAAGAAATCCAAAGTACCTTCAAGATGTCAATTGCCTTTTGAGCTGAAGCAGCACTCAAAGCTTGACCTTTTTGCTTTTGTGCATTCATCTATTGGAACAAGATACAAATAAATTTAGGAATCAGAAACAAATACTACTAAAGTACATATATTATGCAATCACCCTTCAATATGTTTTCACTGTGCAAGCTACTAAAGGATGCCATCCACTTACCTGTAGCTCACGCATCTTAAATGTCTTCATCCAGTTTTGAGAGTCACGTGTTCTAGAATCCTCCTCGCCCAATTGTTTGACAAGTATGTCATAGGTTTTCTTTTCATGCTGCCACACCAAATGTTATAAAATGTTAATTGCACTCTAAAGTTGCCCAGTGTATGGAATGAGATTGTTCAAGTGAAATTACATTAAAAAGACAACTCTTCCACAACATACCTGGTGAGAGAGCTTGAAGGCACCCATACAATTAAATGCAATAGCAAGTGCATGATAGCATACAGCAGTCTGGATGTGTTCCTCCCCAAGAAGCCTTTCATTTTTTTTCAGGGCCTCTTGCAAATATCGAAGAGCAGTATCCATCTTCCCAAGATCTTGATACATCATAGCGACATTAATGAAAGTTGCAGCAACATCAGGGTGATCTGGTCCAGATGACAAACTTAGCAGGAGCAATGCCCTCGACATGTGCCGTAGTGCGAGTTCTGTCTGGTTGAGTCCATGGTAGAAAAGAGCCATATTTCCATAGCTGCAGTAGCAAAGTTGCAAAGACAAGGAGAGCATCAGATTCAGAAAAAGAAAGGAGTGAGAAAGAGAAAGAATAATATCAACCATGATAGGCAAGTGTGTGAACACTGTTTAGTACTATACAGGTTAACACAAAAACACAAATAAACCAATTAATATTTAAAGAGAAAACAACCTTCTCATGCAAGATAAAAGAATTTTTAAACTGATTATGACATTACATCCACTATAAGAATATAGGATGGGTACTTTCATAAGTCACCGTAAATCAAAATGTCAAAACACAAACAATCTCATCAAGATTCCAATATTAACACATCTTAAGAAAAAGGTACAGTGACAATCTTCATAGTAATCCTCGAAAGAGTAACAAATCACGAATTTCAATAATGTACTCCTCAAAAGAGCAACCAATCAAGAATTTCAATAATTAACAGTTTGAGTTTATGTTATACTGTCAGAAAATAAAAGACTAACGGGAAAATTAAGTTCAAAATATATACATGCAACCACCATCTTAGCTACTGAAACAGGTATAAACACCAAAAGCAATACCTGTGAGCAGTGTCAGGGTGGTCTAGGCCCAAGCAGCGTTCATTTATAATTAGTTCCTTATGCTGTTGCATTATGGCTCCAGCCATGTCTCCTGCATGATACAGAACCATGGCAAGATACCTGAAACTCAACGCAGCAAATACTTAGCTCAAATGTTATCAGCATCATGAATATCTAATTATAAATACAAAAAATCTGCTGAAAAGTATAAAGAGGATATGCATACCGACAGCAGTTAGCAACCTCCCGATGCATTGGACCAGTAACCTGAAATCACAAAAAGGATATAATAGTGCTAGACATAGACGCATTGAGGAAAGTTTAAGAACAACCAAATAATATTAGTTACCTGCTGAAGTATCGAAAATGCCTCAGTAAATAATGTGTAGGCTTCACTTAACATTCCCTAGAAGGAAAACAAAAGTATAGAGTAAATAATTAAACCAATCAGTATTGGAACATGGTGTTGAGTCATTGACAACAATTAACTGATAGAAGATCTTTATAGATTCTTATGGTGAAGAGTTCCAAATTAATAAAAATCCCACCAACATCTTGAAAGTTGAAATGCTGCTTTATATTTCAGAAAATTCCAGAATTGAAATATATTTATTTTCATGGTAAATGCAGCATCTTTATATTTAAATATAAAAACCTATGCCATCTTTATATTCATGGTAGATATCCCAGAACTAGAACATACAAAAATATACACCCAGAAATGCTACGTTATATTCTAAATTTTAATATAACTTTTTAAGTCAGTCTTGATCATCTTTGAGAATTAGCTTTGACTTCAAGTTTCTCATCAACAAGTCTATTCTGGTCGAGAACTTTTCCTCACATCTGGAACCTGATGCTATAATGACACGCAATAAAGTGCATA